AAGTAAGACCCGCGAAACAGACGCCGTCACCCACCGTTGTGGCAGGCGTGTGCGACGCACAGCCCGCCGCTCTCAAAGCCCAGGCCGCTCAGCAGCGTGTTGGCCTGCGCGGGCGCACGGCAGAGCGAGGAGCGAGGGGCCTTGCTTGCTGTCAAGTCAGGTGCTTGAAGCGAACGAAGGAGAGGACGTGATCTCACGTCCTCTCTTTCTTTTGAAGTTTGCTTGCTCAGCCACATACAGCGGTACCCGCACGGTTTGGCTGACAGGTCGACCGCACGAGCGAGCTGCTGCCGGTGCGTGTGCGGCGCCCAGACGCGGACGCTCGTCTCCGCACGCCGCCACGCGCGGCCTCGAGAAGCTTCCGGCGCCCCGGCTTGCCTCGACGACGCGCTCCAGCGCGGGCGTCACCTGCGGCACCAGCGGCGGGGCGGGCCGCGCGCTCACATAGATGCGTCCCAGCTCGGGGCCAAGCGGCAACTCTGCTCCCACCTCCCCCCCTCTAGCATATAAAATCTCAGCGCTGAAGCCGCGTCGACGCCGCGGCGTGTCAGGGCGGTGGCCGGCACTGTGACCGGCCAGGCCCCCCACTCTGACGCATCACCGGCCCCACCCCACGCATCAACTACAGGGCCTCGCTCAAGCAAGCCCTCCAGCCGCCTCTGACGCTGCGACAGGCCGTGTGCAAGCGCCCGCACAGGCGCACGCACCGCCTCGGCCGCGCGGGACCGAACGCCCTCACAACCCGCCCACGCGGCCGCACCGGCTCTGCGCGCCGCCGTGCACCCGCACGTACGCTCAGGCGCTCACGCTCTTAGCCTCCAGTGCCGCCACCGCCTCGGCGCCGTCCGCCAGCAGCACGTCCCTGCAGAGCCGCGCCAGGGCGGTGCCCGTGATGGAGGGGGCGCCCCCGAAGAAGTTCAGGCTGCGGGCCTCCGCCACGGTGCGCGCCTCGTACTGCAAGCGGGGGGTGAAGGCGTGCAGTAAAATTGGTTTGAAGTAGGGGTGCTCGGCACAGGCTGTGGGGGGGAGGGGGGGCCCATGGCTCCGGGCTGAGCAAAGGCCCGTGAGCGGCATCAGAGGCGGGGGG